AAAAAAAAAAGAGCTGCTAAAGCAGCTTTAAAAAGTGTGCGAAAGATTTTGCCCGCGAGGCGAAAGTTGCTATATTATATAAATGCTATCTTTTAAGTTATATTTAAAATAAGCCTTTTCGTAACCGTTAAAATCGTTTAAGTGTTTTAACGTCTAACTATTAAAGAATTCTAAAAAAAAAAATATTATTAAAGCCGTTCTCGGCGAAATGAAATAGTTGTTAATAATATAACGACTTTAAGCGATTACTTAAAAAAACTTACGAAAGCGTGAAGGTTTATATAAGAGCTTAAAAGAATCTTAAAGTAATGACTTAAAATTAATAACTATCGAATATAAAAGTCGAAGGTAGCTAAAGTCTATATATACGAAAGTAAAAGCGCTAAGGACTCGTGAACTATAGTTTATAAATCAAAAGCGGGGAATAAAAGAATACGAAGAATACGAAGGAAAAAAGGAAGGAAGTAGCTTGGCGCATATAAGGTGCGTCCAGGAGACCTGGCGTGTCGTCACAGTAGCCGTATTACGCAAAAGTCTCGTAGCTTGCGTAAAAGCTTAAGAAAAAGATTATAAAGAAACGGCTTAAAAAAAAGTCGCTCGCTTATGCTCTTGCATCGCAAAAGCGCGTTTTTTTCGAAAAGGAGCTGCGTTAATATCGATAGCAAAAGTTTTTAATTAAAAAGCCGAAGTCGGTTCGTTTTTTTTCGTTATAAAAGCAATAGTAATAGCGTAAGCTTAAGCTTTTAATCGTCGGACGGCGCTTAGCTCTTTTTTAATAAAAGTGATCACTTTATTATTAACTCGCTTAAGAGCCGCAAAGCAATTCTTATGATTAGCTTCGTATAAGCCGTAGTAGTTCGTATAACGAAAAAGCGCCGTACAATCTTTATCGTCGAGCTCGTCGTATTAATCTCGTCGCTCGCCGTAATAAAAGCAGCGTGCGTACCGAATACATTTAGCTGAATTACATTAGCTAAAATAGCTAAAGTCGTGCTTTTTAATAAGTTGCTTTTTATTAATCAATTAAAAGTAATTGCTGCAGCTAAACAACTTAAAGCTGCGGACCTCTTTTAAAAAAAAGATTATTTAACAAGTTAAGCTAATCGCTAAGTTAGCTTCGTGTTAAAAAATACGAACGCTTATCGAAGCTTTTTCGGCTTAAGCTAAGATCTTTTCGTCGATATGCTTCGCCGTTTTAAAAATCTCGTCGAAAAAGCTTTTGATTTCGGCAAAGACCTTTTAAATAGCGTACGTATACTATTTAACCGAGATAATCGCTTTCGTAGCTTTAAGAACTTTTTAATATACTTTTTTAGCTTTATTTATAATAAAAAGATCTTTCGCTTTAAAGTTAATCGAAGTAAATGCTTAACTAATACGAGTAGCTTTAAAACGAAAGATAATGATTATATCGACGCCGTTTAATTTGTCGGCAATAGCTTTACGAGCGGCGTAGCTATCGAGACGAGCTAAAAGTGCGGCGGAAAGTATTTAAATTAAAACTCGCTTATCTTAGCGTATCTTAAGTTGTTCGTTAAAAGACTTACGAATAGCTTAAAAGCTCGTAAGTTTACGAGTCTTTGCAAGTCTTATTTTTATAACGAAAGAAGATCAAGATAGCTTAACGATTGCCGATTAAGCGGCAGCTTTTAAGTTTTTTAAAGTCTTCGAAAGCCTTGCGGAATCTACTTATAAGATAGACTTAAAAAGGGCCGTTTGCTCGCTGCTATAAAAAGCGGTCGAAAAAGAAAAAAGAATAGCTGCTTCGATAATTGCGTATAAATGAGTACGTATAAACGTAAAAAGACTTTTAAAAAACTTTTAAATATAATATCGAAATTCGAAATTAAGTTGATCGTTTATAATTTAGTCCGAAGCGAAAGCGTATTATTGCTAAATCGTCGTTTAATAGCAGCCGCGCGATCGATATCGTTAAAGTAGCTTTCGATAGCTTTCGTCGCCGTGTTAATAATCAATGCTTTTCGTTTTAATACGAAAGGAAAAAGCTGTAAATTGATAGTAGCGTTCCTTTTTCTTTTTTTAAAATGCTAAGTAAAGTTAAACGGCGATGCAGCGTTTTAAAGCCGTGTATAATTAGCGTTATTAATATTATTATTATTCGCGAAAGACCGAGATAGAATAACGAGAATCATTTCTCGAGCTATGCGGCGAGCGCAACGAGCTATTGATTTAATTCTAACGGATTCTTAAAGAAACCGTATCTTAAAAATCGAATGCAATAAAAATCAAGTCGTTATGAGCAAGTTGAAAATTTCGTATTGAATAATTAAGATGTATGTATATATATATACGCGCTAAAAAGCCTCATTGTTTAAGTTCCATTTCGCGTGAGACACTCTACCTACATAAGCTTAACGGTGCCGCAACATCTCATGCCCAGCATCGAGCGAGCGAGCCCGCTAGTTCAGGCTATAGAGGCCGCCGCCGCCGCTCGCTGAACATGATATAACCGCCTCCGGTGCCTGGCAGAGATCAGCCGCAGTCTAGAAGGTAGCAAGCCTTGATGGTCCGCCATACTCGCATCTTACGCTGCCGTGGACACGGGACCGATTATAGTTCTACGTTGGATATCTTCCTCGATATTGGATACACCTCGCAAAGGCTCGAAAGAAAAGTCTCCGCGAGCCCGTCCAGGCCGGGGGCGGGACGCGAATTGAGCCCATCGGCTGAGAGGTCTGTTGTCTCTCATCTGACGTCGCGGTCCGCGGAGATCTGGAAGAGGGAGGGGAGGTGAGGGCAGAGAGCGTATGGAAGCCGAGTCGACGTGGTAGGTAGCGGAGGAGAGAGCTTTGGAGGTGAGGTGCTTGGCTGATTCCAGGATGGAACGGAAGTTGAGTGAGGTTGATACCCGCTGCGGTACGGTTGGGCTGTTGTGAATGAATGAATGAATGAATGAATGAATGAATGAATGAATGAATGATTGATTGATTGAACGAAGGCGACCTGTCCGCGGCGGTGGAGTGGATATCGTGTCGATCAGGAATCTTTTGGGGTGGCGGGGGTCGAGCCGATGGGGAGGAAAAGGGAGAGGATTGCGCTGAGATATGGAGCCATCGCGCGCGGCCTAGGCTGGTCCTCTCATGGTCGAGGCCGGTGGACAGCGATGGATGGAGGGTTCCGGTTGGGATGAGTTTCACGCGTATTATCCATTCTGAGACCCCCCCCCCTTCCAAAAAAAAAAAAAAAAAAAAAAGAAGTGAAAATGGCAAAAGGAAACCCGCCCACGCGTCCCTGCAAATGAGGTGTTAGCATGACCGTCCAAGTCAGAACATGCTGAAGTCCAATCTACTGCAGGATTTTGGTGACAACCATTACACCATCGCGTGGGCCAAACCTGTTTTGATGAGAGGCTGATGGGTAGGTGGATATATATGTATATACCAAATCTCATCCTACACACACGCGGGCAAAAAACGAAAGAGAGAGAGAGAGAGAGAAACCCAAATGCTTGTTAGCTATTGAGCGGAAGAAGAAGAAGAAGAAGAACCTGCCTGTTATCGGTGGATTTGGGGGTTTGAGATGATATTGTCGGCGAGGTTGTCGATGACTGGAAGTAGGAGACCTTAAACTTTGGGAAGAGGAATTTGAGAGGAGAGCGAGGATTTAACTCCTGTTATAGAGAGAGAGAGCCTGGGTCTCTATCAAACCCTTGAACACCCCATCTCTAAACTAAAATGTCTATCCACCACAAGCCAGAAAGAATTTACGCAAGGCGACGACCAAAGTAACGGGAAGTCATAGATAGATAGATGAATAGATACCTACGACTTTCCCACCAGAAAAGGAGTTGACCAGCTAGTTACGTCTTACACTTTTCACATCCTCAAACCAATACCAATGACTCACTACTCAAAGGCATATAAAAAAAAAAAAAAAAAAAAAAAAAATAACTCCTCCTCTCGAAGTATGAAAATCTCGGGACAGAATGAATAAGCGCAGGTCGTATCTTTATACAAATCAAATTCAAGGTGCGCGACGATTCATGCGAGAACAACAAGAAAGAAGAGCAGAAACATTCCAGAGTCAGGCTTCTAGGCGCTCTGGTCTCCCTTTCTAAAACGTGTATCCCAGATGAGCAGGAGAATGATATCCGACGCTTATCTATCAAGTAGCAGATCCCAAACGCTAGAATGCTGTAATGAATGCAGTGGGTGGAAACAGAGGTAGAAGTCGCGTTTTGTAAATGTCTGATGGTTAAACGATCTCATCTTCATATTTATGTACCGAGGTATGCAACGAAATTAATCAAAAGATCAACGGAGCTTAGTGAACGGAATGATTTACGATATGAATTGTAGTACACAATTACTTACCTTTGCGGGCTTACAGCGCCCCCTGAAACGAAGCCACGAGCATTATCTGTGTACATGTAGTGGGAGAATCACAGAGGACACGCATGGAAAAGACTCATGCTGTAGAGCTATAAGCACTCCTTCAGGCATTGCGAGTCGTAAATGTCGACGATTGTTTTCTAAGGAATGGAAGTGTTGATGAGACAACCGATGTCGTTGATAATCAACATTGGGGCTTTCGGCGCCAAGTACGGCAGCTAAGCGGCTCTCCACTTTTTAGACAGCCTCAGCACCGACTCCCGCGATACAAGAAATAAAGCGAGAGTTTATTTATTTACTTGCAGGACGCAGGTACCAGCACAGAATAGAGAGAATATCAAGCGACTTGATCTGCAGATGCTGCGACAGACAGGCTCACGTCTCCATCACCGAGCTATGCACGGCACGACCGAACGGTCTCTCGTAAACAGTAATGCGTGCCCTACAGAGAATCGGCGCAGGCACGGCCACCGTACCGACCCAGCCCTGCTAGTCCCTGCAGTATGAAGTTGCCCCCCCAAGGGCCAGCTGCTGCTACACCCACAACCACATCTTCCAGACACACTTCGCCCTGACATGCATCGCCCTGACTTACATCGCCCGGACATACATCGCCCTCCGCTCGCAGTACAATCCTGCACCCAAACCATGAGTCGAGCAGAGCCCTCCATCGTGGGGCAAGGACCCGATGAGGCCTTCTTTACGCCAGCCGATGCCATCGTCCTCGACCAACTCTACAGAGACATCCAGGACGTCAAAGCTGGAGCCCAGGCCGCCGTCGAGGAGCACCGCTCTTCTCTCTCGCAACTCGAGAACATGAACAACACCAAGCATCCCGACTTCCAGCCCACGGCCTTCGCATCGTGGGACTACAAGCAGCTTCCCGACCTGAACCACAAAACCCTCAATTCCATCCGCTCAGCCATCCTCCATAGCTACATCACGTGGGCCCGAACCGTGGTGCGCCACGAAACCGATGTGGTTTTCCTCTCTCACATCCTGATGTACTTCTGTACGTCCGTTCCCAGCGCCCTGTATCTGTTCTTCGAGAACTTCACCTACCTGCATGCGATCATCCATCTGCTGGTCACGGTGTGGTACTCGGGCGCGTTCACGCTCTTGATGCACAACCATATCCACAACAACGGCGTCCTCTCCAAGCCCTATGCCGCCTTCGATTGGGCTTTCCCCTATATCCTGGAGCCCTTGATGGGCCATACATGGGATTCGTACTATTACCATCACGTGAAGGCCCATCATGTCGAGGGCAACGGACCGGACGATTTGTCAACCACCATCCGCTACCAGAGGGACTCGGTTTGGTGCTTCTTGCACTACGAGATTCGGTTCTTGTTGCTGTGTTGGTTTGACCTGCCGAGATACTTTATCAGGAAGGGGAAGTACAACTTGGCCGTCAGAGTTGCGTGTACGGAGTTATCGTCGTATGCATGCCTGTGCCTGCTGGCGAAGTGGCAGTTCAAACCGACCATATTCGTGTTCTTGCTCCCTTTTGTAGTTATGCGTATAGGGCTGATGATCGGGAACTGGGGTCAGCACGCTTTGGTCGATGATGTGGAGCCGAATTCGGATTTCCGGTCGAGCATCACATTGATTGATGTGCCCGTAAGCTAAACTCCCTTCTTTTGAACCAATCTTTCATCCTCCGTCTCGGATACCAGACTTACGGTTGCAGTCCAACCGCTTCTGCTTCAACGACGGCTACCACACCTCGCACCACCTCAATCCACGCCGCCACTGGCGCGACCACCCACACGCCTTCCTCTCAGCCAAAGACCGCTACTCCAAAGAGGGCGCGCTCGTCTTCCACAACATTGACTATCTGGAAATCACATTTCGATTGCTGACAAAGAATTACATGCGTTTGGCGCAACAGCTGGTGCCGATCGGGGATCAGATCGGGATGAGCCAGGCGGAGATTGCGGAGATGCTGCGGAAGAAGACGAGGAGGTTCACCGAGAAGGAGATTAGGACGAAATTCGGGAAGCGTGCGAGTTGACTGGTACCTTGTAAAGAAGGGGAATGGCGAGGGGGATAGTTAGTGGAGCAATGCGTCTCAACGGTCAGGTACGTACGGTATGCTACGGTGTTCACGGCGGAAGCGGGGGCGTAATCTCAATCTTAGGCTTCTGCTTGGCAAATACCAAGCATAATACAATCGTATTGACTTCTGGCTCTCTGACTCGATGGTGTCTTTGGATATTTCCCAGGCAAAAATCCCTCCCATCGGGGTACACGAAGACAGCGAGATCAGAGCTTGGGCGGGCTCGAAGCTTTCTGTCCAACACACCGGGCGAGTCATTCAATTACACCAACTTGATGTCAGTCTTATCGACTCGATCCAGAGAAGCCGCCCCGACAGTGCGAACAGTTCCAATCCTACGATACTCGCCTGTCTCGCCCGTCGGATAGATCGCTAGCCAGGTCTGCACCAACTCGCCGTCGGGGTTCTGCATAACCATCAACCGGATATACAGAGGTCCCTGAGATGTTCCCTCGTAAGTGTCGGGCATATCGTCATCTGGACTTTCAAAGAACTCCCCAACCTCGGCGCGCATCGTCTCTCTGGAACTAACGACCCCTCGCAACATGATCCAGCAGCTCTCCACCGCACCCCATCTATTGCCCCCGGTGGTAACATTGTGGACGCTGAGGACCTCGACATCGTACCCTGGGAGACTAGGTCCTGCCCCTCCTCGATATTCCCAATCCGCCGCGCCCTCGCCCCTCGTCCAGCTGAAGGAGGGCGCGCGGTACGTCCATGTTGATGGATCGTCTAGGTTGCAAACCTCGACTTGGGGGAGACCGACTTGTTGTCTGCCGTAGGTCCCTGTGCCGTACCGGAAGGAGAGCCCTCTCGCTAAATCACCCCTCCATAGACCAGAGATGTACGACTCTTCGGGACCCAAGAGGTCCTTGTATCTGCTGTGGAAGGTCTGGGCGATGCTGGATAGAGCGACTAGCTTGTCCTTGTCAGGGTACGTCAGGAGTCGACTACTGTATTCCTGCACCAGCTGGTACCAGGCGCTGTAGACGTCTCGCGCGCCGTCTCCGGGACGACCTGCATCGGCCGGCACTGGCGGCGCCACAAACATCTTCCTCACGTTCGAGCCCAGCCACGTCACGTTCCGCTGCCCACCGGGCTTCCGCTCCGACGCCTGCATCTCTCGACACTGCCAGCCGACCTCGAACCTGGTCCAGTGCACCACCCTGCGCGAGAAGACGCGCTCCTGCAACACCCACCCGCGACGGCTGAGGCCACCCGCGTCCACGACTGCAAAGACATCCGCGATCTCAGGATGCACCGTCATCCCCGCCTGCGGGTACGAGCAGCTCCGAATCGCCTGCGGGTCGCGGTCCGCGAGGAAGCCGGCGCCGCTGCTCTCTGCGCTGTCGGCGGAGATAGTCAGCTGCGCGTTCTGGTAGATGCCAGCCATCTGCCCGGCCTGCTCGGCCCAGTCCGGGGCCGAGTCCTGGATGATGCAGAGGGCGTCTACCCAGAGGTACTGGAGGCCCAGCGCGCGACAGACGAGGACGGCGTCGCGCAGCGTGGCCGGGAAGTCTTCCAGGGGTATGCCCTGTGTGTGGGCGGTCAGGTTGTGGGTGGTGGTCGTCAGGGTTGGGGAGGTGCCCCAGCGGTAGCTGAGGGCTGCATAGTTCCCCAGCTCCCCGGCGGTCACCCACAGGTAGGGATCCCGCGATTCGGAAGCGCTTCCTACGTTGATTACCCTACGGGGTAGGGTGCTTGGGGAAGTCGGATGGCAGTTCTGATGCGAGGCGGAGCAGGTACCCAGCCAATTTGATATCATCGAGAAGATGAGCTCCGATTTGGGGGATATTTGGACTGGGATGGTCAGTCAGTACACATCCATTTTTCGCCTAACCTCTTCTCCTTCTTCTTTTCTCTCCACGAATGTATTTTGTGACTACTTACGTGAATCATGTGGTAACACTGGCGGATCCGACGGATCAGAGAGGGAGGAGACGTTGAACTTGACAGACGACAGGCCCCATTTCACACGCAGCTGCGGCGGGCCGCCGGCCTCGCCGAGCATGTATTCGTACCTGACCCTGCCATCGGGCTCCCTCGTCCAGAAATCGTTCGGGCCGGCGATTCTCGTAAAGACGAGCGTGCAGACGTGGCACCCGGCTCGAGCCGACTCTTCCACGGCCCGGAGGCTGGTCCGGAACGTCGTCGTTGGCGGTTGGCCGGCGATGGAAGAGCCGGGTTGGAGCTCGAGACTCGCACAGTCGTGACAGAGCGAGTTGAGGGATGTGGATGTCATTTCTGTGATGTCGGGGTTTTTCACGGTTGGGAGTCTTGACTTTCTGAGTGTTGATTATTGTATGGTATGTTTCTGGTCTGATTGAGGCGATTGATATAGTAATTGACATACGGACGGGGGGCTGCTTCCAAAAGGATTCGTTGGGTATCGACGGGGAAAGTGGGTGGGGGCTGTCTGCACTTCGACGTGGGTCAAACATCTATAGATGTATATGCGAAGTATATATGTACATACATATACTTTGTTTGAGACCATGTGAAACAGCGCTCGAGCCGATGCAGCCTTATAACGGGTCGGCCCTACGGAGTACTGTCAGCCATGATGCATTTAGGTACCTACGTAGTATATGGAAGGTTACCATCGTCAGCTCGCTTAGGTGGGCTTCTATGTATACTCATCCTTTAAGACTTTAACCCTCCTTGAGACTTGATCCATCTTTTGAAACTTGATCCATCTTTCAGACTCGATCCATCTTTCAAGACTTTATCCATTCCTCTCAAACCTGCAGAATTAATCCCCAGACTGGTAAAGTGGGATGGATGATGGATGAGTACCTACGCTACCGGTCGAAGCCTGCGCCTAAGCGAGTCGACGGCCATCAGGACAAAGACTGATCTAGGTACCGTCTCCAAGACGGCTCGTAAGTAAAGAGTGTGTGTATGTATGGCTCGCAGTTTGCATGTTTGGGGAAGTAGGCTGTTGAGTTGGTTTTAGAGAGGTTTGAATCTAATTTGTGATGATAAGTCGGTGAGTGGGTATGTATGTATGTACTACGTATGTGAAAGTTGTGCACGTTCCAGGGCTTGGATGGGGTATGGCTCGCGGTTAGAGGATTGAATGCGTGGCAATGCAATGTGCAGTTTGAGTTGAGACTTGGGAAACGGAATTGGTTCGGTGTTATAAACCATGAAATATATATATATATACATTATAAAAAAAGAAAAAACATTCAGGCTGCTCTTTTATTGGCATGTATGGGGTATTACGCAATTTGGCTTGGCGTATTGATAAGTCTTCGAGTATATCGAAAACCCCTTTGAGAGGCTTCTAAATTTGTTTTTGACTTTTTATTAGGAGCTTGCAAAGCGCCCGGGTTTT